CCCCCCCCCCCCCCCCCCCTCGTTTTACCGTCTTCCTTTTTATCCTTCATGTATTTTCTGTTTTTACCGTCTTCCTTTTTATCCTTCATGTATTTTCTGTAAGTTTGGAAAGCGTGTCGCTGTGGGTTCGTATTTACTTACTCTTTAGCATTTAACAGCAGGTAAACAGTAGTAAGTAATCAGATCAGAGGCCCTAGTATTCTTAAAAGCTACTCTTTGAATGCAAGCCCTAGTGAGGAACTTCTCTGAAAATCTTGAGTGAAGCATTTACTTTGCTTGGTCGATGCCTTCGAAAATTCTTAGAAATGAGAGCATTATTTCAAATTTTTTTTGGAAATATCAACCGTATAAAATTATGGTTAGCAGTCTCGGACGTGTTTCTTACTGAAACCCATCTCATTTTTCAGCCTCTCGAAGGTCTCGGGTAAACTTTTCTTGCTTGCTATCATGAATGAAACATCGCCATCGCTCCATCATATGAGCGCTTTGAACCACTCAGCCTCAACGGATCTACTTTACTTTACAAATAAATAGGGAGCTGAGAACTTATAACGCCACTCTCAGTGGTAGCGGTGGTTTTATGTGCTCCTCGCAATGGAAGGAAATTCTCAAACGACAATCTCAGGTTCACACGTAATACCCAAGAGAATGTTTCATTCACACTTACCGTACTGGTTTGATGTAGAGTAGATAGTAGCCAATTTCGAATATCAGTTCGATGATTTCACAGATAGTGATCACAGAAAAGCCAATCCACAAGCCGATGTTGCCGCCGAAATCAGAGAATAGGTTAACCATCTAAAAATAATGGTAGTAGCAGTTTCTATAATGGCATATTCCTTCCTTTTCAAGCTGATATTATTTTGGAAGTTACAAATAGTTGTGAGAGCCACCTAGGTCACAAGTGTGACCATCGCGGTGACGACCGTCCAGATGTTCATTCGGGGTCACGAGGTATCAAGTCAGTGATAGCCCTGTTCGAAAGGCCATCGAGTAGGATGCTTCTTTTAAGAATGAATAGAATGAATACCTCTGAATGCTTTAGCTACATGTGTCTAGGTCGAGAAGTTAACATGATGAACGTCCTTCCTTACCTAGAGCTAATCAGAATGAAACGCTCGATGTGGGGGAAGGAGAGGGAGGTGCATTCAAGGGGTTTGAGAGGGAAGTGAAGAAGACTACAAACGTCCGGTTCAGTGCTCCCCTTTCCGACGCTGCAGTCCGCTTTGAAATGCGCCCACGAAACTTGGGCTCACGAAAGCAAAATGAGCAAGCGGACAGCGTCATTCAATACGCTGAAGAAAGCGCAATGTTCGCAATTTCCTGATAAATGAAAGAGCGGAGGAGAATCTGGAGTACCGAGCTCCCAACAGAGACGGTCATATAGAATGTTATAAATGGTATGGATTATACGTATGTTAAGACAGGGGCTCTGATAATGGAAGACAGTAATATATTTATATTCAACAAGCAAAAAGGTTCGATACCGTATAGCCAGCAGTTTCCTTCAAAGTTTCAAAATTCAGCTGCTCGTAGTAAATTTCGATATAGGCAGTGTTCACACGATAGTACTCAGTGCAAGCAGCGCTGTCATTGAAAATGTTGCCCACCGCCGGACAATCGACACCTAAAATTCGATTCCAAAGAAACGAAGTTCATTAAATGCGCGAAAATCAGCGTATTCGGAGATATGTAAGGCTTCAAAAAGTAGTAAAATTAGGTATTCGGCGATAATGAGACGACAAACTTGCATGAAATTTGGAGGATCTGTTCGAATGTGCATACCATTGCGTACAGTTGGCTACAGTAAGCTGCCTACGTCCCGGTGTAAATGGTGTGACCACTACAACCTCTAAAACGCCCTAAGAACTTGTCTTCCCTTGGGTGTGTATATAGACCCCCTATTACTCACTATCTCAGCCTTTCTTCATCCCGATAGCGTCGCTTGAGCTGTACTTGAGGCTCACATGTTCATTCCAGGACGGAATTTGAGAAGTCACTTATCGTGAGCTGAGCCTTTGAGGCTACTTTATTGGGCCAGGCCATAAATTCCAGTATTGGAAAACAGGGCGCATGTGTGAGCCATGTTGCGAGCTTTGCCAAAAAGATTCCACCAGTTCACTCTTCAACTGTAGAACAATGCTCTGAGTCGTGACAATGTACATAGATTCGGAAGAAGGCGGTGAAGGCATGAACAAAGACAGGTTGAGACTTTTTTCAAGTGAAATTGGTACAAATTGGCACAATTACAAACGACGTACCGATTTTGAAGTTCACAGACGGCCATGCAGCTGCTGAGTAAGCGGTTTCGAAAACGTTCTCAGTACATGGCTGCTGACAGTCGCACTCGAGCTGAAGATGGTGATAGCCACCAGAGGCGCTGATCAGTTTTGAAAGGCATTGCCCTAAGTTGAATATTTCGGAAGCCATTGAAAATGGTCTTGAATTGGAACTAACTGTCAGCCACGCTCTTCGCACTGCAGTATCGCTTTTCATCCGATGGTAGTGGAAATCGTGGATCGCCGCAACCGCACTGATCAAGCACTTTCAATTGGAAGCAGTTTCGATGGCAACCCTTGAAAATTCAAATGTCATTTCATGCTGGGACAGATGTGGATCGAAATTTGAAAAATGAAAGTAAAAAGGATGAACCTCAGGCGAATAGTGCTCG